TTGGTCTTGAAGCTTCACCCACTCCTGATGGTCTCTTTATCAGTCAGTTAAAATATGCTCGAGATATTCTTACTCGTGCTCAGTTGCTCGATAGCAAACCAGTTCACACTCCCATGGTTGTTTCTCAACACCTGACTGCTGATGGTTCTCCTTTCTCTGATCCTACTCTCTACAGATCTCTTGTTGGCGCCCTTCAGTACTTGACTATCACGCGTCCAGATATTGCCTATGCTGTCAATTCTGTCAGTCAATTCTTGCATGCCCCTACTGCAGATCACTTTCTTGCTGTCAAACGTATTCTTCGCTATGTCAAAGGAACACTCCACTTTGGTCTTATCTTTCGTCCATCCACTGTTCCTAGTACGCTAGTCGCTTATTCGGATGCTGACTGGGCTGGTTGTCCCGATACTCGTCGTTCTACATCCGGCTATTCTATTTATCTTGGTAACAATCTCATTTCTTGGAGTGCCAAAAAGCAACCTACTGTATCACGCTCCAGCTGTGAATCTGAGTATCGTGCTCTTGCCACAACTGCTGCTGAACTTCTTTGGGTTACGCATCTTTTGCATGACCTCAAGGTCCCTATTTCACAGCAGCCCTTACTCTTATGTGACAACAAAAGTGCTATTTTTTTGAGCTCTAATCCTGTTTCTCACAAGCGGGCCAAGCATGTTGAACTAGATTATCATTTCCTTCGAGAACTTGTTATCGCTGGCAAACTTCGTACACAATATGTACCCTCTCATCTCCAAGTTGCTGACATCTTCACAAAGAGTATTTATCGACCTCTCTTTGAATTTTTCAGATCCAAGCTTCATGTTCGTTCAAATCCGACGCTCAGCTTGCGGGGGGGTGTTAAGGATAGTTGACCGTTCATTAAGGCAAATATCTAGATATTTGCCTTACATTACGGGTTACCATATTTTCCCTTTTACTAAATGCAAATATATTGTATTCATTTATTATTCTTTCCTTTTATCGCTATTTCCTTATTATTTGTAATTTACCTTATTTCTGTATTCTGTAAATGATTATAAATAAGAGAACTCTCACCACCATTTGGGTGTGGTGGATTAATCAAACATTCACACATACATACCGTAAGCAAAAGCGGAATATGCCAGATGTTTGGGACATCATGGATATTCAGAATATTACAGACCTGGATAAAATTCAAAAAGGTTATGAGCATAAAATAAGTAAAATTATGAAAACATAAATCCATATAAAAATAAAAATTTCAATTAACAACTCACTGGAACATGGCAAAACTGAGAAAGCTTCTCCTTCGTATTGTCCAGTATAGGCTACATATAATTCAAAAGAAAAACCTTACGACACCTTGAAATATCAAAACTATTGTATGAAATGAATGTAAGGCAAAAAATTTACATTTAATAAAAATTACGGAGCAATTACAATGGGGACATACTCCAATTAAATATTAACTAAATAACTACCAAAGACAACACAAAACCATAGTACATATAACCAAACTAGCAGGTCCGTGCAATAGCAGGGCAGGAAAGAAACTAAATGAACTAAGGTGATCATTGTGAACCCATACTATGATATGTCAAAGGAAGAAAAGAAAATGTACCTGAGCAGATCGGCACGCTAGCAGATGTGGAGTTAAGCCTAAAGCTCTGAGTTCTCGAACACTGAGTTGTGTAGGCTTTGTTTTCTGTGTTTTAAAACAAATAGTGAGAACTACATTCATCAAAGAATGGTGAAGGAAAAATTTACCACCGGCATAAATAACTGCTCACAGAGCATAAATTATATACAAACTATTTGTACAGTATATAAAGATAGATTATTACTTGCTCTCCAACAACTCCCAATACTGGTATTAAGCTCACGTGGATAAGGCAGAAATTGTCTGGACCTAACAACCCAATTAAAAGGTGAGATGATTCACACCTATTGGTTGTAAGAGCGTGATCTACAACTATTGCATATAAGAATTATATATGGCCACCTCAAGTGGTTATCAAACAGAAAGTATGAACTTACCAACTGAAAAGGACAGTTGCCGCAAAGCTTCAATAAATGGCATTGATTCAATGTCACCTTAAGAAGACAACTAAAATTTTATTTCATGAAACAAAACATAAATTATCAAAATTCTACTGGGGAAATGTCTGACAAATGTAGAAGTTAGGTTACCAACAGTCCCTCCTAATTCTATCACGCAGACATCAGCAGGGCCCTCTTGGCCATCCATGGGAATGGTAGCTACTGACTCAATGTGGTTTTTAATGGCATCGGAGATGTGTGGAACTACCTGAATTCAAATAAATAATATAAATATTAATGAAAAATAACTAGTATGAAAATGTTCAGAGCAGACATAATACAAAAGAAGCATTACCTGAACGGTCTTCCCAAGGTAATCACCTCTTCGCTCCTTCTCGAGAACAGACTAATACATTTGCATGGATGGAATCAATTAGCATGCTATAGAATTCTTAATAGATACTTACAACTTGAAACAAAAATCATTCCAATAACCTGATATATTTTTCCTGCAGTAATATTGTTCTCTCTTGTCAACGTTATATCTAGGAAACGTTCATAGTTTCCCAGGTCTAAATCAACCTGAAATTTGAAAACAAGTAAATAACCTGTGAATTACTTAAGTACAATCATACCTCTACTATAACTGAAACCAATACATGCAGCGAGGCAAATCTATACAATCAAGTTTACACCGCGTCTCAAATGGAAATACGCAGTGTTGTTTTTGTATGGCTAGAAAGGAAGATACCTCACCGCTATCATCAAGAACAAAAACTTCCCCGTGTTCAAAAGGAGACATGGTACCAGCATCCATATTCAAGTACGGATCTGCAAATTCAAACGCAACAAAGCATTGAGGACCAATTCACACGCATACAAGAAGTCGAACCATAATCGACTTTCCTATGGACAACACTGAAGCAGACATGCACATCATCACCACGACAATGAGAAGCAATCAAAGAAATAGAAAAGAAACTACGCTAAAAAAAACAAAAAAAGTAGGTAAAAGACTCGTCATCAAGATGTCACCATGACGAACTAATCTTCAGTCTAAGAGAACACTATCACTTGAAAATTTTCCAAAATCCAAAAAAGGACACTGATCAAAATCAAATAAACGGAATCCAAAACATGCAGAGTAAGCAAACGAGTACGCAGAGGAGAAAACTCATTTAAAAAACAACAACATTATGCAGTTCCGGGAACATAATGCAGCAGGAATCAACAACAGCAGGCAAAGAACAGAGTATAAGAGCATAGAAAACGTGGTTCTCCAGCGATAACAAGAAGCAAAAAGTAAAGGAAAAGAGTAGAAAACCTATTTTAATGGAGGTGACTCGTAGGCCACAGGCTTTGAGGACGAGACCGATACTACTGGCGGTGACGCCTTTGCCAAGTCCACTAACGACGCCGCCAGTGACCAAAACGTACTTCATTGTGAAGAAATCGAGAGGAATACAAGTCCTTGGCGGTAATGTCGTCTGAGCAGGAACGGTTGAAGAAGAAGAGAAGAAGAAGGTGGTGGAGGTTCGGCTTTGTTTGTTTGTTTGTTTGTTTTTGCAGGTTTTATAGTAAACCTAGAAAAAGAGACCGAAGTAAAAAGGGGTTTTGACTCACAGTCAAATCATGCGATTATTATAATATTGATTTCTATTTTTTTATACATTAATTTTATAAATAAATCCCATACATGCTTTTCAAAATATTGATCCGTAAAAATTATTATATTATATAGTCTATGAATTTAGCATGACATTTAATTCAACTATTTCTTTTTATAATTATGCATCTGGTTACATTATTATACTCTTATTAATAACATTTTATGGTATTTATTAAAAATTTATTATACTTCTCACCATCTTATTCCAAATTTATTTTAAAAATCTACACCAACCCGCTTTAAATTACTAATTATTTCACAATTGTGTTATAAAATAATTTTATTTAAAAAAAAAATAGTTTTTTTTAAAGAACCCTTCCCAAAAAATATATATAAACTATAAAAGTATACTAATTACGTTTAAGATGGATCTAACCATATTATATGCCCCAGAGGTCGACATAAGGTTGTGTTTGGCCCTCATTGGTCGTAGGTAAGAAGTTGTAATCCAAATTTACTTATTTCACTTAAAATTTATTATAAACTTTATTTTTTTTTCTTATTTTCTAGAAAGAACGATCTAATTTTCCTGCTAAAAAAATTAAAACGATTTTGAGATCCATTCGTTCTTTTTTCTCTGACAGATGGTCAGAACTTCATACGGGTTCGAATCCTATGGAGAAATTCACTAGAGATAAAAAATTGTTGAAGAAAGAACAGATGTTTCTTTTGTCCCTTGACGGAAAATAAAGAAATAGTTAATATATTCAAGATAATTACGTATTTACAAAATACGTCTCAATTCATCCTATTTCATCAGATCGGATCCAGGATGTGATATGGTTCCTGATTATGGATAGTTCCAATAAGATTGCGAACAAAAATCCATTTATTTATTTATTTCATCTATTCCATGACCGGAACAGGAGGGGGTACACGTTACACCACGATTTTGAATCAGAAGAGAGATTTCAAGAAATGGCAGATCTATTTATTAACTCTCGGGTATTAATTATCTAACCTATCCAAACACATAGATTTAAATCCTAAATTATTCTCCAAAATATGTAATATATACCTATCATATAGTGTATAAGATCCAAAGAGGCCCACATAAACTTTTAATATCTATTCATCAACAAAAAAAATTAGAATTAAATAAATAATCAACCAAAAACAAAAAATCTATAAATCATTTTTAGGTAAAAAAAGGCGATCTCAATTTAAAAAAAGGAAAAAAAAAAAAAAAAATCTCACAGAATCTTTTGTTTCAAATCCTAAAGTTTGATGATATTTAATTTTTCTCTCAGAAACATTCATATACATGTCTCTAAGGTTTGACTCTTTTCTCTCTCTAAAACAGTGAAATAAGTGAATGAAAACAAAACAGAGCTCTATTCAATAATTAACTCAGAGGCCAACAAAACTACAAAAAAAAAATATGAAGTGCCATGTGAGAGTTTGCTTCGTAAGTAAACTTAGATCAAGTTAAGAAGAAGATTGAACAAAACTTGATAGAATGTTTCTCTTCAAGGTGAACTGGTCTGCTTTCGCTGGGCTTACCGACTGCGTTCCATGCAAAAATGACAAACACAAGAAATGGCAGCAGCAACTTGTCAGCTGAAGTTTACGGATGTCTTCAGATAAGATATGTTCAGACAAGTAACTAACACATCTTTATGATATATTTCAGCACCTCCAAATACCGACAGTCTACACACGTTTTTCCCTCATAAATGCATTTGTTTGTATTTATAGGAACCAAATGTCGTAACATGCAAAGGGGAAGAGAAAAAAAAAAAAAAAAAAAAAAAAAAAAAAAAAAAAAAAAAAAAAAAAAAAAAAAAAAAAAAAAAAAAAAAAAAAAAAAAAAAAAAAAAAAAAAAAAAAAAAAAAAAAAAAAAAAAAAAAACACTTTTTAAAGCCCTTGAGTAAACTTTGAGCATGGTATCAATTAAATTAATTCAAAACTTAAACTCACATAAGTGAATCAAATTAGATGTTTTAGGAGTGATTTATAGCTATTTTTATGTTGGGAGTTCCTTTCGGACTTCTCGTCAAAGTTTTAAACGCTATTAGAGAGAAGTTTACACACCCTTATAAATGATGCTTCATTCTTCTCCCTAACCGATAACTGATGTGGGATCTCACAATCCACCCCTATTCGAGGTCCAACGTCGGCACGCCGCCCGATGTCTGGCTTTGATACCATTTGGAACGGTTAAGCTCATTACTAGCAAATATTGTCTCTTTGGACTTTTCCTCAAAGTTTTTAAAATGATTTGCTATGGAGAGGTTTCTACACCCTTAATAAAAAATATTTTATTCTCCTCCCAACTAAATTCGGATTCTATTTAAATTGTGCTCAAAATCACCTTAGTAAAATTATTCTCACCCAAATCCTACCAACCAATCTATTTGATTCCAACATTTTTCTCTAGTTCATATATGTAATTAAAAAAGTAATATATATGCATTAATGGTTTTAAAACAAAATAACCCTTGGAAGTAAATAAGATAAGACTACTAGTGCTATATTCTAAAATAAACCTCTCGACAGCAGTTAAGATCTAGTGATTAGCCATATGTAAGTATAGCACGACCCCACAGATTTTAGGACAAAAAACCCAAACAGGGCTTTATTTATAGCATAGAAAAAACATTGTAAACATAAGGTCTTTGTAAAACTTAAGACTTACCTTATCGAGGATGCGCTGAATCCTCTCAATCTCAGACTTAGCATAACCATCACCTTTCTCCAGACACTTTTTAGCAGATTTCACGTATATCTTTCCATGCCTGTAGCAGAGTAATCAACAACTATGATTAATAATTTCACCATAATCCTGCAGTAAGTTTCTGGACACGCATAGAATATAAAACTATAAACCATACAACGCTTTTTGAATCATTAAAGATGCTATTGTTCTTAAGAAACTGAATGAAAAAATCAAACAAAAATTGCGTACCTTGCATCAGATCCACTAAGCTTTCCAGCTTCCTCTTCCATCTTGGCAACAACATTCTTTTTCTCTCCATTGCTAGCAGCTATGAACTCCTTCACCAATGATTCTAAACTAGCAACTAGACCAGCCTACAAGAAAAATCACATATTTGAGTATTAACATAAAAGAAGAAAATAAAATTTAAACATCGTTGGGTTTGGTTGCTTGCTAACATTTACTGTAAGCTGACCCTTGGAGTCACGATTGGTCCCACTCTTTAAATTAATGAAATTAACAAAGTCATCAACATCTCTGCCACCGTCGTAGTCTTCACCATCCTTGTTGTCTTTAGGGAAGAATTTTAATGTAGGGAAACCACTTATGCCATACCTGTAAAAATACAAAAGATAACCGACCTTTAACAATAACTTAGAGAAATCATTAAGAGACAAACCCCACAACAAATTAAAATAAATGTAAACTTACTTTCCAGCTAGATCACGATATTTGTCAGCATCTAAGTTAGCAATTACTACGCCATCTTCCAATTTAAATGCCGTTCCCACCTTTTCATATATCTGTAGAGGGATAATATAATATGATATTAAATTATTTATTATTCATGATAATTTGCCAGCAAAAGCCTAAGAAGAAAACTACTTACCGGAGCAAGGGTCTTGCAGTGGCCACACCTGAAATATAGAATTGATCAGATACTTTGAAATCATGCTAAAATAACTCGAAGAAAGGACAGAAAGTCAAATACCAGGGTGCGTAATACTCAACCAGCACATCCTTATTTGCATCTAGAACAATCTCATTGAAATTATCAGGTGAAAGAACTACAACACTGGATGGAATTGAAGCTATCTTCACATTGGTTCCTGGATGAACAGAAGTTGATGAATAGAGAAAACCCCAAAGGCCATAAGTTATCGTATCAGCATGGGACTTCCGAAGATTTGGTTTCTTGCAACTTTGATTAACAATTATAGTACAACAAGTTGAATCCGGGAACAAATTTATTGAGTAAACGCTAGAAATGCATCTAAATATCTGTATAACAAGTAAGACATTCTTCGTAAATACTGGCACTAAGAAAAGAGATGGAAAGGGCATAAGAACCATCATATGGACGTGAGCTCTGTGTTCATATGTAAATAGTGGCACGCTTCAGAACAATACAGCAAAGAGTGAAATGCAAGGAGAACGAATTAACAGTGTAAAATGGAGAACATTGTCTAATTCAGACCAACCAAGTGAGGATTTTAAAATAGTCGGCATGTTAAAATAAGATGACTTTACAAGAATGAACAACTACCTGCTTCACTGTTGACAAATTCGGCAAGGGCTTCTGCTGTACGTTGACCTTCATACCTACATATGAGATTGTGAAATCAAGTATGAATCAAACCTCCTCAGTGTTATTTATAAAACAGTTTTCTTACTTTTTCGGTTCGAGCGATTCCTTGGGGAACCATTGAATTGTTGGGTACCCAGAGACTCCATATTTGCTGCATACGCCCTTGTGCTCATCACAGTCAACCTATAAAATATGATTAAGAATTACCGTATTAACTCTCCATCACAAATTGGGAAAGAGAATTCGAGTAACAAGGGAAAATAATAGTCATGATGGGCATCAAAGATTTTACACATTGTATTAAAAAATTGACATAGAACGAACGGTGAAGAACTGACTGACCTTTCCGATCAAAACAGATTTGGCTTTCTTAAAGCTGTTTCCAAGCTTTTCATACTCTGGCGCAAGCTTCTTACAGTGCCCACACCTATTACCATAACAGGGTAAGGTAGGGCTTCATTATACACATGATCGGGGGGAACAATTACTAGAAATTGGAGATATCACTCAATGACTACATATAGATCCCCAGGCACCAGAATTTTTTTAGTAATACGATTAATTTCAATCACTACTTTTCTCTTTCACTAAGAACTACAGCAAAAGTGAGTTCAAAGAACTGGCGGATCGATCTTCACATAGCATACACATCCGTCCCCAGGCCATGAAAACCAAAACTACAAACTCAACAGAGAGAAACGTGGACAGTTCAAATAAAAATGACCGATGCGACAAGGAAATAGCCCCCGACATTTACAAAATATTCCCGAAATAAGAAAAGAACATTTCCGTCATTGATCATTCACTATTCCACTTTATATATTCTCTTCCACTGAGGAACGAAAACAGAGGTGAGCCAAACAGATTTCAGACAAGTTTCCAACGTCAACACACGGATCTACAACCAAGCTATCACAAACAACAGCAAAAACTTCACAACCGAGAATCGAAAGATTTCAGTAACTATTCAATTTCAAATCATAAGAAGAAGGATTACCAAGGAGCATAGAACTCAACCAGAGCTCCTCTATCTTGGCCAACCTCTTTCTCGAAGTTGTCCTCCGTCAACACAACAACATCGTCGGCCACAGCCGCTGAAAGAATCAAGGCCAACGCGGCGAACGAGAACCAGATCTGACACTTCGCCATTTTTACGATTATTTCAGTTTGGAAGGAAATACTGAGAATTTGTTACAAATATCGGGAAATCGGACTGCCGATTGAAGCAGGTAAAGTTTGACTAGGAATTTTTAGTCTGTGGAACTCGTTTTATTCTCACCCTGCGATTACGGAAAACTGTTATATTGGACCACGTGGCGTGAGATAATTGGCCAGTTCTTGGGATACACGATTCTTAATGTGGGGGAGATTCTCACTTGATTGTCGTCCAAAGTGTTGACGTGGCGAGCTGTGAAAGGCTTGAGTACGTTGTGCCGCAGGTGTGGCTTTAATTTAATGAATTCCAGTTTAATGATATGTAGTTATTTTCCATTAGTGTTATTTTAAATTAAAAATTTTGTAAGAATATTCACCGTAATTGATTTTAATAATATCAATTATTATTAATATATACGGTGGATAAGTATATTTTTTAAATAATTATAAAATAAACTTAAGAATTATAAAATTAACTAATTTCATATTAATCTCCTATTATTATTTTTATTCAATGGGCTTGGGCTTTCAATTAAACCTCGTGGAGCTTCAGCCCATCATTAATTTTGTGAATTAGATATTTATTGAATTATGGATATTAAGCTAAAAGAAATTAAATGAATTTATTTTAATAACCAATAAATATAAATTAAATGGACTAAAATAGTAATTTTCACACTTATATTTAATTTTGTTTCGTTTTTTTATTTTATAAAAGCTGGGAAAAGCAAACTCCTACGTGGCAGAAGACGATTGGTTTGTATTCAATAAGCTCGCATTTGATTGGTCCATTCCAAGAAGAACACGTCGCCAAGCGTAGTCACTGGACAAAGTCATTTACTTCGCCATATTTCTGTTTTCGTGGAATCGATTCGACGACCAAGTTCAGTTGACGACTTCGGTCCTGAATTCCAGAGCGAAAATTTGAAAGAAGGGCAAGAAGGAAGTTCGTTTGATCTTCGTGAAAATTCAGTGATGTGCCTCATTGATCTGTGATCGTATCCGACAAACTCTGAATCGTCTCTCAGAGAGTTTGAAATCCCCTCTTTTGTGTTTCTTCCATCGTTGATCACTTTCTCAGATGGCGCAGCGAAGAACGAAGCTCCTCTTCGTTGTTTGTGCCTTCTGCTACGTTTTTTCCGCCATTGCAGGGTATTGTTGAATGACGCAACACTCATCTCGAATACGTCTTTGTTGCTTCACTGCAATGGCTATATTTCATCTCGCTTTGTGCTGATTTTTCTTGTTTCTTATGTTACCAGGAAGAGCTATTATGATATACTGCAGGTGCAGAAGGGTGCCTCGGACGAGCAGATCAAAAGGGCTTATAGGAAGCTCGCTCTGAAGTACCATCCTGATAAGAATCAGGGAAATGAGGAAGCCAATAAACGATTTGCGGAGATTAGCAACGGTAATTTTCTTCCCCCTTTGATATATTATTTTCCAAGATTGTGCACTACTTTTCAGCTTCTGGATTTATTAATTTGGTTGTGTGATTTAGCTTATGAGGTTCTATCCGACGGGGAGAAGAGAAACATTTATGATAAGTATGGAGAGGAAGGTCTGAAACAGCATGCTGCCAGTGGAGGTAGAGGAGGAGGGATGGGAATGAACATTCAGGATATTTTTAGCCAGTAAGCTAATTTTTCTTATTGCATATTGAATTTTCTCTGATGGGGTTGCCTATGGTTCGCATAATCTTCATTGGTTACAGCTCGTGATGTTTATTCTACTATTAAATGAAGCGCAGTAATGGTGTGTAACTGACTTTAGCCATGATCTTCCATGTACAGGCTATCCAATTTAGTTTAGATATGACTTCTATTTTGTGTGTTTGCTTAGAACTTTGGGGGTTTTGTGGTAATTTGATTTCAATTCTGAGGTTGTTGTGTGATTACTGAGTACCGACATTGTAAAATTTGAAGGTTTTTTGGCGGAGGAGGTGGTATGGAAGAGGAAGAGAAAATTCCAAAAGGGGATGACGTAATTGTGGAATTAGATGCATCACTAGAAGATCTCTACATGGGTGGTTCATTGAAGGTAAGGTATTTTCCTGTTGCATTTTACATAATTGCTCAATATTTCCGAGGTATTATTTGGGGGGACGGTTTCGTGAAGTTTTCGAAATGACTTGGGGATCAAGCTATCCTAATCTTTAGCATATTGATCCAAGTAATAACCCTTGAATTAAAGAAAATTAACCCCTGACAAAATTTGGGTCAATCAAGAGATAAGACTAGAATTAGATTACTTTTTAAAATCTAAGGATTTAGAAGCAAGATTTGGAATCAAATTCTAAATTGGATCGCTCTACTTTTGAGGCTCCATTGAATGACTAGGATGCAAAAATTGTTTGAAATCTTAGAAATAACAAAAATAATGCTCAAATTTCTAAGGGTGAAAGTCTCATCTGCTCCATTGAATGGCTCGGATGCAATCTACCACAAGAATTGTTTGAAATCTTAGAAATAACAAAAATGACCCTCAAATTTCTAAGGGTGAAAGTCTCATATGAGAGCTCATTTTCATTAATCCAAAATCTGATTTTTACCTGCCAATTTTCTGGGTATTTATAGCCTCCCTACAAAGGAACCTCTAGCCATTCAAATGCCTACTAAAAAGAAGTTATGGTCATGATCGACAAACTTAACATTACCCTTCAAGTGGTCACTACAAGAAGTTATAACCATGACTGGCAAGTAATTTGCCACTACCTTTCAAATGCCCGCTAAAAGGAGTTATGACTGTGAATGGTAAGTGGTAACTTCCCACTACCAAATACCCCCTACAAGAGATTATGAAATTAAAATAATAAATGAAGTTTTTAAAGCAATTCTAGCTATTTATGGCAACCTTATTCTCCACTTCAATCTTGCAAAGGTTAACTTCCAAAGTTTCAAATGGTTCTTTCTCATTAACTTATAACACATGAAATAGAGGTTGAACTAAACCTATTCAATTTTGTAGATGAAAAATGAATGCTTGTTGAATCTTCCTGGCCTTTAATGGTATAATTGGTCCAGTTGGAACATTTGGAACACCATGATCCGTATGACTTTACTTGTTTATTTGCTCATGGGCCCAGTATTTTTTGTTAACAAGAAAGAAAAATTGCGTAAAAGGGAGAGAGATAATCTCAAAAGTTGGCCATAGGAGTTACAAGAACTCTCTTAGTGGCTTTAATGTCATAGGAATTCTTATCCTGAAAAAGTTAAAATTTGTTTGTGGACTCTTCCGTCAGACGGTTTCATATATCTATTATAGGATTCGGAAGAAACAGTCATCACATCTTCTTCCAACTAGTTTGATCTTGTAAACAAGAAATTGAAACAATGGTCCTCCTTTCCCAAAGGTGCCCTAGAAGGGCTCACAATTTGCTCTGCTTTGTTTTATATGGCCATAATTCCATTACTTCAGGGAGAAAGCTATGAACCATGCTTAATGCCATTAGGTTCATTTTATGGGAGATGTGGTTAGAAGAAGAAATTGCAGGATCTTCTAATGAGAGAAATCTGTTTTCTTTACTTGTTCTTGGGGTCTTTTGCAATTATCTCTCATTCATTTGTATCTGGTCGAAGAGGACCTTTGTCATTCCTTAGACTCTGTTAACTTTTTTGCCTTGTAACTTCATTTGATCATGAAATTGTTTCCTATTAAAATCATGTCTTGTTCAAGAAAACCATTTTCATAAAACTGTGCCTCAAATGAAGTCCTCGTGTCCTCCATTCAATTCACCATTTAAACCTTGGTGCCTCTCCCGTCCCGAAGTTATCATTGTATATGAATGTGGCTTTGGTCTCTTTCATATGCCTCTGAATAGATTTGATCCAGTGATACTGTTTTTCATCTGTAGCTTCGCTCTACCACTCTAATGGTGATATCCCACTATTTTTTTTCCATAGCTGTTTGGAGCCTTCTCCTTGCTTCGATTGGATTTTTCTTCTTTAATGTCTACTTCCCCTAGTATTTTGACTGGAAAATTTGCTAATGGCTGTTATCAACATTGGATTCCAGGTATGGAGGGAAAAAAACATATTAAAGCCAGCACCAGGCAAGAGGCGGTGTAATTGTAGAAATGAAGTCTATCACAAGCAGATTGGTCCTGGAATGTTCCAACAGATGACAGAACAAGTATGTGTTCTTGTTTAACACAATTTCTTACTAAGTCATCCAACACTTGTTCACAAAATTGAGTCTTGTGTCTGTTCTTTCTTTTACTCTTTCAGGTCTGTGAGCAATGCCCCAATGTTAAATTCGAAAGAGAAGGATACTTCGTTACTGTCGATATCGAGAAAGGAATGCAAGATGGGCAAGTAAGAAACACTAATCTTCATCTGGATTGTTTCAATAAAGCATATGCTGATGTTGCATACTTGAGTCAGAATGCTTAAATTTATTGTTTGAAACTATAATGTTCTCTAAAGAAGTGATTCGACGACTTCAAATCCATAAATTTGAGATATTTGCAGTGACGTACTTCCTTTCATGAACATAAAAAACCATTTGGTGTTTGCAGGAGGTCACTTTCTATGAAGATGGTGAACCTATGATAGATGGAGAAGCTGGAGATCTTAGAGTTAGTTCTTTTTCATTATTCAACTAGTTCCATTGTGATTGTATTTGCTGAAAGTTTTGAAAATCAATTACTTTTATGTTCAACAGTTTCGCATCCGCACCGCACCGCATGATCTTTTCAGAAGGGAAGGCAATGATTTACATGCTACTGTGACCATCACCCTGGTAACTCTGAAACTATATGTTTGATGGTTTATTTTGATCTTTTACAACCCTATGGCTACTAAACTTCACATTACTTGGACGCATGCTGTTTAGTAGTAAGGCTTTTTGAGTCCAAGTCACCCTTTTTTAAAGTTAATACGTTTGAACACATTCGATCACTTTTCTTGGGCGTCTTCTTAATTCTCAAAGTTAATACGTTTGAACACACTAGATCACTTTCCTTGGGTGTCTTCTTGATTCTCGAAGTTAATACGTTTGAACACACTAGATCACTTTTCTTGGGTATCTTCTTGATTCTCAAAGGTAATACATTTGAACACAGATCACTTTTCTTGGGCGTCTTCTTGATTGTCAAAGTTAATACGTTTGAATACAATAGATCACTTTTCTTGGGCGTCTTCTTGATTGTCAAAGTTGATACGTTTGAATACAATAGATCACTTTTCTTGGGCATCTTCTTGATTCTCAAAGTTAATACACGTGTGAACCAACTAGATCACTTTTCTTGGGTGTTTTTTTGATTCTCAAAGTTAATACATTCGAACAACTTCAATCAATCAGGTACAAGCTCTGGTCGGTTTCGAAAAAAGTCTCAAACACCTCGACGAACATTTAGTCGAAATTGGAACCAAGGTGAGCCAGAGTATTTACACCTCTTTTTTGGCATTCTATCTCCATCGTCAAGTCCTTCATACATCCAATCAAAACCCAAAATAACTTCTGTTACTGTGATCATGATTAGGGAATTACAAAACCCAAGGAAGTAAGGAAGTTCAAAGGAGAAGGAATGCCATTGCATTTCAGCACAAAGAAAGGGGATCTTTTTGTCACATTTGAGGTGTTATTTCCCACATCGTTAACAGAGGATCAGAAGACAAATATCCAGAAAATTCTTGGTTAGTTTCTTCTTTTTTTCTTCTTTCTTTTTGTTTTGCTCAAAAAGATATATATATATACCCATTGTAGTAGGCTGTAGCATGTGGTGGATCATTATAAACATTTGGAATCGCTGAGCCTTGCAGAAGTTTTGATTGATTTATTTAACATCTTATCTATATGATATTCATCTTTCATATTGTTAAACTCATTTTAAGTTGAACCCTTTTTTTTTTACATTGTCATTTATGACAAATTAGGATTTAAGAATCAAATTTATTCCTCTCGTGAATCAAAAAAAAATATATAAACTTAGGTAGATATTCATAGTTCAGAGAAGATTAGCATTTAACCTTTATAATATATATATAGTGCCATGCTGACCTTGAGCTAGCTACGAATAGCACTCCTCTCGCCTTCTCAGCTACTATAGACCCTCTGCCATCTATTGCAACAGGACCTCTGCTCAAAAAACGGGAAAGATTTTTTAGAAATCGTCGGCTGTTGGTCTGGATATGAGACTTTTTGGACCGTTTGGGAAGAAAGTCTTCCTTTCCTAATTTAAAGCTTTAAGGCTGCAAATACTCAACTCTCTTTTCCCTCTTCGAGCACTAAGCACTAATCTCTGCTCCAATCCAAATCTCACCTATCCCATTTATTTATACATATTAATTTTAGTTTTTTTTTATTAAAAAGTAAAATAAAAAAAACTATATTTTCTACTTTAACAATATGAAATTAGTATATTCTTGTTGAGCAGCTCGGCTAGCAAATAGATAAGACTTGTAAAAAGGCATTTATTTCTTTTCAATATTAATTCGAAGGATTAACATAATTTTTTTAATACAAAGTTTCAAATTTAAATATTAAATTAGAAAATGTAAAATATTTTATTATTCCTACTTTAAATACTAGTTTTAATAATTCCTAACTATTAATCGACATTGTTATGTTAGATTAATCTTGTGACATTTACCTCCAAACTTTCATATATTATATTCTGTTAAATCATTTAACCTTATTCAAATTTATTATGTTAATTTAATATTTTGATATTTACTAACATAAATATGGTGCCTTCTTGTTCTATAAATTAACAGGAAAAAATGTTGAATTTCACTTTGAAAAAAAAAATATATATATTAGTTCCTATAATTTAAAATGTAAAAACGAAATTCTAATTTTTAAAATCATACATAGACTCAGGCTCATAATTTATATAAATTACTAGTTTTTTTAAATAATTGACATTTTTTAAATAATTTTTTTAAAAAATACACAATTAATTTATAAAAAAATTTGAATTGATAATCGAGTTAAAAACTGATATTTAATTTATATTTAAAATAACTATGGCTATATGGTTCATTAAAAAATGACATAGAAATATTATTAGAAAATAAAAGGAAAAGGGATAACTAAATTAAACCTAAAATTTGGCAATTAAGTTAACCCATTAGCCTCATTTTTCATTAAAAATCATTAACTAAATACCTAATAATTGGCACAATTAAGTGAACAAATTAGAATCATTTATTACTCATTAAAAACTACGACCTCGTTGTTAGAAAATTAAACCAATAATTATTAACAAAATTTAGCAAATTGGCAATTAGGCTAACTCATTTTATTAGCACCAATTATATTTTTTATTTTATTAAAAACTCAATTGTTACAAATAAATAAATAAATGAATAAAACACTAATTAGTTTTAACTCAACAATTTACCCGTTTATTAATGAAAAATAAGTCGGCTTAATTTTTTATTTTCTGAAATTTAATTACATGGAAACCAAAAAACGACAAAACATTATCCAACATTTAGTCCAAAATCGGAATAGTCCCATTTCCGAAAAAGAAAAAAACAAAAAATACCGGCAATCGTCGTTGTAGAAAAATCGAACGGTTTGGAAGTACTCCACGTGGGAAATACGACGATCCAGGTGTCGGCTGGATCGGGCGAGTTGAAATTTGTCGGGTACTCGCAGGCGAGTAGGTGAACGATCATCATGAGAAGTCGTGCAATACTGAAAGAAGAGAACGTAGATATTGCGGACACGTCAGGTATCTGCGTTGAATTTTGTCAACGTGTTATATACGCGCTTGCTGACGTGGCTAAATTCGGATAGCTCCAGAAACTTTTGAAACAAACGGGCGTTCTACTCACGCGCTTTCGTGGGAAATTAAATTATCTTCACAACCGATATCAAAGCGGCGTCGTTTTAATGTCTCCTCGTGGCTTCCGCCTATAAATGTACCGTTCTTAGTTTCTCTCTCTTGCCTGTCTCTCTCTAAATACGTGTGTACGAATTTCTCGTCGGAGTTCAACGGGACAACCCAAATTCAAAGATCGTGGCAATCGTTGGAGTCTATTATATACGCTGTTGCTTGCGTGAATCTCGTGTAAATATCGGAATCTGATTGTAATTTTCGATCGATATATCTTTTGATACCCAAAGCCAAAGAAGAAACAGAGTATTTTGTTTATTGGAAATCGGTTTTGGAAACAACGAAGTGATGGATATCTTCTGTTTGAATCCTGGAACCTACGGGATTTCTTCGTCGTTTTCAGTAAATGCGGCTCTTGATGTTCGTGCGAATCCATCTCAGGTCAGTACAACCGGTAGGTCGGCGGCGGCGGCGGTTGAGAAACCGCAGAAAATGATTTCGCCGTCGTCGTCTTCTTCTTCATCTTCGTTTCGGAAGTTTTCTTTGAAGTATCCTCTGCAATCGCTGTGGAGTCGGAGTGGTGAAGCTGGGAATCCGAGGCGAGGCGGTTTGGCGCTTGACGACGCCGTTTTGGTAGAGAGTGAAAACGATCGGAGAGTCGTTCTTGAGGAGGAAAGTGAGAATGTAGCAACTGGATCGGAGTGGAGAGATGGAAATTGGGTGATGAAGATTTTAAGAGTGAGATCTCTGTGGAGAGAGGAAGAGAAGCAGGGAAATGCTGAGGAAGTGGTTGAAAACGAGATGGACGAATATCGAGCAAGTGCTTGTGATGGAGAAGAGGGCTGTGATACTTGCAGAATCGTTGAGGAAGAAGATGAAGAACAGATTGAATTTGATGAACACTCGTTTTCCAGATTGCTTAGACGGGTTTCGTTGGCTGAAGCGAGGTTATATGCTCAAATGTCGTATCTAGGGAACCTCGCGTACTCCATTTCCGAAATTAAGGTACATAATCTGATTCTATATCAAGAATTTTGTAATTTTGTTTCATAAATTAAAGAACTCCATGTCAAGATTTGTATGCTAGTCGAGCGATCTGAGTGGCTTTTAACTACGGATCACTTCATTCTTCAAGAAGTTTTTCAGTGATAGATAGGAACAGAAACGATCTGGAATGATTCTGCTATGTTGGTTTATCATATCAGTTCCTTTTTTCCTTCTATGATCTTGAGTTTTGATTCGTTTGTGGGTGATTCTTATAAATCTGGTTTCATTTTGGTTAATCCAGCCGAAGAACCTGCTGAGGCATTATAATTTACGCTATATAACTTCTTCAATAGAAAAGAGGGAAATAGTTATGAAAACTGAGAAAAACCAAGAGCCATCTGCATCTAAAGAGGCTGAAAGGGATCTAAAAAATGATGAACAATGTGAAGAACAGAAGGATGGATATCAAATAAGTGCATCTACAGCTTATGAGATTGCTGCCTCTGCTGCTTCTTATTTGCATTCTCATACCAGAAAAATACTTCCATTCAGATCCTCTAAAATTGGGGATTCGCTTGAAGCAAGTCAGAACAATGTTGACATGATGAATTCAGAGATGGCTTCTTTGATGGCAACCACGGACTCGGTTACTGCTGTTGTTGCTGCAAAGGAAGAAGTGAAGCAGGCTGTTGCAGATAATTTGAATTCGACTCGGTCATCACCTTGCGAATGGTTCGTGTGCGACGAGGTTGAGAGCGGTACAAGATTCTTCGTCATCCAGGTACATATACCTTCCCTCTTGCTAGAAAATGAAGAAATGAGGAATAGCCTAGGCATGAGGTCGCTGGAGGTTGGCATTTGATTCGTTTTAAACAGATTTCGTTCTTTTTTGGACCGAGGATCTCGGTTCTTCATGATGTTAATCTAAGCATTAACAATCACTTGTTATAATTATGAGATCCCATGTTGGTTGGAGAGGAGAACGAAACATTTCTTATAAGGGTGTGGAAACTCTCTCTAATAGACACATTTTAAAACTGTGAGGCTTACGGTGATATGTAACGGGCCAAAGTGGACAATATCTATTAGCGGTGGACTTGGGTTGTTACAAATGATATCAGAACCAGACACCGGGTGGTGTGCCAGCGAGGATGTTGGCCCTCAAAGGAGGTAGATTGTGAGATCCCACATCGGTTGAGGAGGAAACAAAACATTCCTAAGGGTGTGAAAACCTCTCTCCAACAGACGCGTTTTAAAATCGTGGGGTTGACGACCATACGTAAGGGGCCAAAGCGGACAGGGCTTAGGCTATTACAAATGGTATCAGAGCCAAACATCGGACGGTATGCCAGTGAGGACGTTGGCCCCCCAAGGGAGGTAGATTGTGAGATCCCACATCAGTTGGAGAGGAGAACAAAACATTCCTTATAAGGGTGTGGAAACCTCTCCCTAATAGATATGTTTTAAAACTGTGAGGCTGACGACGATACGTAATGAGTCAAAAATTGCTAGCGGTGAACTATGTATTTGGCCTAATTTTGATGGTTTCCTTCCTTCGGTGTAGGGATCTGAGTCACTGGCATCTTGGCAAGCAAATTTGCTTTTTGAACCCATTGATTTCGAGGTACAAATTCTTGCTTCAAACTTTATAAATTACATGCGGTTAATATTGACATATGATGAATCTTTAAAATACGCAACAAACTGGTGTATGTTCTAAATGCCTTGTTATTTAGGGACTAGGAGTCCTTGTCCACAGAGGAATCTATGAGGCTGCTAAAGGAATATATGAACAGATGCTGCCTGATGTCCTCGAACATCTACAATCTCATGGTAACCGCGCGAACTTTCGGTTTACTGGGCATTCTCTGGGGGGAAGCTTGGCGCTGCTCGTAAATCTCATGCTCTTGATAAGAAATAAGGTCCCAGTTTCTTCCTTGCTTCCTGTCATTACATTTGGTGCACCATCCATAATGTGTGGAGGTGACCACTTACTTCGCAAGCTCGGTTTGCCTCGGAACCATCTTCAAGCTGTTACATTACATAGAGACATAGTACCACGAGCGTTCTCGTGCCAGTATCCGAACCATGTCGCAGAACTTCTTAAAGCTGTCAATAGGAACTTCCGGAATCATCCATGTCTAATTAACCAAGTGAGCTTCAAATCTTATTACATGAATCAAATGATACAAATGCTTGGTCGAAGTGTTATGATCTAACTATTACGAACTAAATAAACTGCAGAAATTGCTGTATGCACCAATGGGCGAGCTTCTAATTCTGCAGCCCGATCATAAATTCGCTCCAAGCCATGATCTTCTTCCTTCAGGCAGAGGTCTGTATCTTTTAAGCTGTCCACAACCTGATGCCAATGATGCAGAGAAGCAACTCCGAGCAGCACAAAAGGTATTCTTAAACACACCGCATCCACTTGAGACCCTCAGCGATCGATCCGCTTATGGTTCAGGTGGAACGATCCAAAGAGATCACGACATGAATTCATACCTAAGGTCGATTCAAGGAGTGATTCGTCAAGAGCTAACCCGCATAAGGAAAACAAGGAGAGAACATCGGCGCAAGGTCTGGTGGGCTCTTGTGGCTCCAAACAACGTCGATATAGGAATCATCATTGGACGGCCTGCCGATTCAATCTCAAGTATCCTGCAAACAGGACGAGAGTCGTTGAGACGATTGAGTAGGCTTGTTGCTTCACAGCATATGAATCTGCTTGTGGTGCTGTTGCTCCCTGCTAGATTGCTATTACTTGAAGTCAATGGGTGGTGGGTTAGAACTTGAAAGACTATGTTCTAGTTCTTGTTCATTCGGTTGCCCAAACAGTTCACAGATTCTTTATTCATTGGTTCCAAAATATAGACAGCAACATCATCATCAACGAGTTGATTGTTCAATATTATGGGTGGTTGGTGTTAGACGAACACGACTCCCCACAATGGTATGATATTGTCCACTTTGACTCTCATGGCTTTGCTTTGGGCTTCCCAAAAGGCCTCATGCCAATGGAGAGTGTATTCTTAGATTATAAACCATGGAGAGTGTATTCTTAGATTATAAACCGCCCAAAAGGCCTCATGCCAATGGAGAGTGTATTCTTAGATTATAAACCCATGATCATTCCCTAAATTAACCGATGTGGGACTTTCATCATCCAACACCTCCCCTCGAACAAAGCACGCCTCCCCTTAATCGAGGCTCGACTCCTTTGGAGTCTTAGTCATTTTTGACTGCCTTCGTACCTTCGAGGGGCTCGACTCCTTTGGAGTCTTAGTCATTTTTGACTGCCTTCGTACCTTCGAGGAGGCTTGACTCCTTTTGGAGTCCTTTGTTCGACATTTAAGGATTTGCCAATCTATTGACACAGCTAAGTTTAGGGCATGGCTCTGATACCATGTTAGACGAACACGACTCCCCACAATGGTATGATATTGTCCACTTTGAGCATAAGCTCTCATGGCTTTGCTTTGGGCTTCCCAAAAGGCCTCATGCCAATGGAGAGTGTATTCTTAGATTATAAACTCATGACCATTCCCTAAATTAACCGATGTGGGACTTTCATCATCCAACAGTTGGAACGAACTTCCTTTCCAACTTCAAGAAACAGTTGCTTGTACACAATTCTTGTTCTTGTTCTTCGCCTGTAATTACCCTTGTTCTTGTAAAGGTCCTGGTAATCTATTACGATCAACATGAGCTATTGTTGCACGCTTTTGTGTTCTTCCTCTGTTTATCACGTTTTACTATAATTTGGTAGTGATAAGACATTTTTAGAAGGTTTAATAAAAAAGTTTAGAATTTGTCTTTTCTTTTTCTTAAAGGTTTAATATATATTTCATATTATACATTTTAAAATGAAAATATTTTAAGGGTTTAAAATAAACGATCCAATAAATTAATTTTTTTATCTCAAATAGTTGCCTACAATAATATATAATTTAATTCAGTAAAATCATACTTTTGATTGAATTTACATTTCTTTAAAGGGCACTAATTTAGATTATATTATTGATTATATTATGGGTTGTTTTGATAATAATTAAATTGGCTGATTAATTGGATTTAGTCCAACTAAAAAATATCAATAATTTTTTAATAGGGAAAAATATACATTTTTTAAAAATTAAAGAAATTAAATTATAAATTTAGTTCGGTTAAAAATTTATTTACATAAAAATCTCAAAAATATTTTTACCCATTTTATTAAATTAAAAGACCATTTATAAATTTTATCAAATTATTTAAAAAATAATTATTAAAATTATACAAAATTTAACTTTTTTTAGTTATAAAGATTAAATTTATAATTTAATTATAAATTTTAGTATTTTGTCTCATTAAAAAACTTTTTACTGGAAGATTTCAATGATTGGTGGGGACACTACAACTTGGAATAAGAATTATTATAAGCGCCTTCATAAGCGCTTCAAAAATAGATAATTTTGTATCTAACTGTATAAAAGCAGGGGCGGATCTATGAATAGGAGATGTTGTGCGAGTATCTACAGGACCCAAATTATCAATAGGCTCTCCAAGCACGTTGAAAATTCGGCCGAGAGTCGCTCCACCGACTGGAACACTTAGAGGAGCTCTCGTGTTAACCACTTTCATTCCTCTCTTTAGACCATCTGTAGCACTCATAGCTACAGCTCTAACCCGATTATTTTCTAATAATTGTTGTACTTCACAAGTCACATCAGAGCGTACGTCATAAATGCTTTGTCAAATTGTCAAAGCTGAAAGTAATATATCAATTTTTCTCAAACACAAACATTACAAACCATATGCTTAGGGTTATAGTAATTAATTAGTTAAAATATTCTACGGAATTTGATAAAATAATAATGATAATTTTTGTTAAAAGAAGAGACACAATAACACCTTTTTCAAATTTTATATAAGACTGTTTTTCGAGAAATTCTTTATTTTTTCCTCTTAAAGAAGACATGAATAATGAACAAACATTCCATTCAATTGAAGATAGATGGAACAACCGACCCGTTGAAATATCATCACTATACGAGCTTGTATATTTATTGTATATTTATTTTATATAAGATATCTGATTTTAGGACGAGAGAACTACATATATAAGAGTGCAAATGTTTAACACAAAGAGTTGTGTAGATTGACAAATCTTCGAATGTCAAACAAAGGACTCCAAAAAGAAAAAAAGGAGTCAAGTCTCCTCGAAGACAGTAAAAAATGACTAAGACTCCAGAGGAGTCGAGCCTCGATTAAGGGGAGGCGTACTTTATTCGAGGGGAGGTTTTAGATGAAAGTGTCCCACATTGGTTAATTTAGGGAATGGTCATGGGTTTATAATCTAATAATACATTGTCCCTTGGATTGAAGCATTTTGGGGAAGCCCAAAGCAAAGCCATGTGTTCGTCTAACATGGTATCAGAGCAAGGTTAGTGTATGTTATCTGATCTCGAATTCTTAGTATGCTCTATGGTTGCAGCTCTATCTGATCTTCTACATCAGAAACGATTTCTTGTGATTAGTAGTGAGTGAGTTTCTTTTGTGTCATGATGTAGTCTGTGGGCAACATGCATGATGTCCTATTTACAAGGACAAGATCTTTGGGAGATCGTTGGCGGGTGTGAAACTATGCCGCCAGAGGAGGATTCTAACGGCGTCTTGCGCAAATGGAGAATCAGAGCAGACAAAGCCAATATTTGCCTTGAAGACCACAATCGGAGAAGAGATGTTAGAACATATTTGAGATGACAAGACACCGAAAGAAGCATGGGACACATTCGTGATACAAGGCTACAACTTCTGGAGAATGAGTTGTTGTCAATTTCACAACGTGACATGACAATTGCTCAGTACTTCCACAAGGTCAAGTTGAATTGTCGGGAGATTACTGAACTAGACCCGAAGTCCGCCGTTGTAGAATCTCGAATGAAGAGGATTATAATCCACGAATTGCGACCGAAATATCGAAGCTTCATTACTGCTGTACAAGGATGGTCTACTCAACCATCACTTGTAGAGTTCGAAAATTTGTTAGCCAGCCAAGAAGCCATGGCTAAACAAATGGGAGGCATCACATTGAAAGGTGAAGAAGAAGCACTCTACACAAGTGAAAGTCGGAGCAATAATAGGTTGTCTATCAAACGTGGATACAATGGTGATAAAAGAAGAAGCTACCAAGGAACGACACAACCTGAGAGAGCTCAGAAGAACAACAACAAGAGTTTCCAAGAAAAGAGATTTGGAGGTATTCGCTACAATTGTGGGAAAAAGGGCCACATGTCTAGAGATTGTTGGTCCAGGAAAAAGTCGGTTGAAAGCAATGTGGCAATATCCAAAAAGAAGATAGAGGATGAATGGGATGCAGAGGTACTATGTCCAATAGTAGAAGACGAGCTAGCACTCATGGCAATGATGGAAGAGCATATTGATTACGAGGATGACTGGATCATTGATTCAAGAAGCTTAAACCACATGATTGATGATCAAAGCGGTGTAATGGAAGAGGGGTGGCCCTCAAAGAAGGAAGAATTACCCGGTCTTGAGCTAACTGAAGAAATTCTTTTACAGAACACAAAGGAGCAAACGGAAGAAATTCTTTTACAGAACACAAAGGAGCAAACTGAAGAGATTCTTCCACAAAAGACGGGGGAGCAAATTGTACACATTTGCTTAAGTGCTGATGTGCCTGAAGATTCAAGTGACACTAGTGTTGGTGAGCAAGAAGTGACTCAACCAAGCGAGCCTAGTGAAAATGAAATGACACCTCAACAACTCAGACATTCAGAAATAATCCTAAAGGCAAATCCAGAGTATGCCAACGCAGTAGAAGACGAAGTTAGTGAGCCGGAGACATGAAGAAACATCACAAAACTCAGCTTGGCAGAAAGCGATGGAGGAAGAAACTATAGCCTTGGAACAAAATCAAACTTAGGAATTTGTGCCAAGACCAAGAGATACCAAACTCATATCTTACAAGTGGGCTTACGAAATAATGCGTACCCCGGATGGATCAATCGTGAGATACAAAGCTCAGACTATAGATTCAGGGTTATCTCAAGAATATGGACTAGACTATGATGAAACGTTTAGTCCAGTGGCAAATATCATTATCGTACAAGTTCCTCCAGTACTTACGGTAAATAAAGATTGGAAATTATGGCAGATGGATATGAATAATGCTTTCTTGAATGGAGAGTTAAACAAAGCGTTCTACATGGACCAACTGAAGAAATTCGAAAATGAAGTTGGAGTCATTGATCAATATATGCAAAATCCGAAGAAGCCTCATTTGGATGCGGCTCGATAGACCTTGAGATATGTCAAAGGTACAATCAATTACGATTATTTATACAAAAGAAGCGAAGACTGGAAGCTAGCTGGATATAGTGATGTCGACTATGCAGGAGACCACGATACCCAAAGATCAATCACTGGGTATGCGTTCAAGCTCGGTTCGAGAATAATTTTTTGGTATAACAAAAGACAACCAACAATATCATTGTCAACTAAAGAAGCAGAGTACAGAGCAGCAACTGGAGCAGCTTAGGAAAATACATAGTTAAAACTTTTGATGGAAGATTGGCATCAAAAAATTGAGCATCCAATACCACTTCATTGCAACAATCAATCTGTGATTCGCCTAGCAGAAAATTCGGCGTTTTATGTTAGAACAAAGCATGTGGAGTTACACTACCATTTCATTAGAGATAAAGTTTTGAAGGAAGAAATCGAGATGGAGCAAATCAAGACAGATGACTAAGTGGCAGACTTGTTTACAAAAGGGCTAAATATTGACAAACATGAGAGATTTCGCTGTCAGCTCAACATGGTGCAACGAATGAAGACTAGTGCTGAGGGGGAGTGTTGAAATATCATCACTAGCCCAATAGAGTCAAGCCCAATAATTATACGAGCACCCATTGCATATTTATTTTAGTAGATATTTTAAGAAAAATATATGATTTTAGGAAAAAAGATCTAGATATTTTTAAGAAAAAAATTCAGATTTGTTAGATTTAGATTTAGATTTGTTAGGTCTAGTCTAGATTGCGTAGACTCTAGTATAAATACACCTCCACCCTAGGTTATTCATCTAAGAAATCCAAAAAAAAAAGTATTCTACATAGTGCCCTGTATTCTCTTCTCAATTGGTCTTAATAAAGAGTGCGAGTGTTTCCACAGAGTTGTGTTCAACACAGCCCAATTCCACCGCTAGCAGATATTATCCTCTTTGGACTTTCCCTTTCGGGCATCCTTTCAAGGTTTTTAAAATGTATCTACCAGAGGTTTCCACATTCATATAAACAATGTTTCGTTCTCTTCCTTAACCGATGTGAGATCTCACGGTAAATAATATTTCTGACACTATTCATAGACAAGGATATCAAAACAACATATTTATTTTCCACCTTTTTTCTGTATCAAACCATCCAAACAGACAAGATAATGTCAGTCTACAAGAGATAGAGCAGCAGGACAATTGTTTAGTGGAAGTAAGATACAGTCATACACTTACTCCTCCTCCCATAAAATGGGAAGGTAAATTTTTGAGTTACAGATTAATCTTACCTGCCAAATACCAGGAGTGCATTGCAAGACTACCAAATGCTAAGATATTAGCAAGGGATGATAAGCCATGAATCATACCGAATTTCTTGTTCATTGCTGCAAGTTTCGGGTTCACCTTTGCAACTTCTACATTCTTTGTCCATCCAACTTCCTCGCCAATGTTATTTTCCCTCTCCACTTTGTGTCTTTGTTTCATCAGCTGAAGAACAACCATGGAAAAAACAGAAGAGACGGAGTTTAATTGTCTTATAGTGTAACAGCTCAAACCCACTGCTAACAAATATTGTTCACTTTGACCCGTTATGTATTGTCGTTAGCCTCATGGTTTTAAAATGCATTACTAGGGAGAAATTTCCACACCCTTATAATCCACATATAGTAAATCTATTGAGATATAAGAAGCTCAAAACAAGTAAAATTGGGACGAATAGAGTAGTGTCACTATCTAGCTCATAATGCTCATGGTAATTTCTCATTAAGAACTACTATAGCTGTATTTTGTCATTACACTGAATTTCCACATCTATCATCAGCTACTACTACAATACAAATTTATTTTTGAGGGGGATTAGAAACAAAAATCATAGTCATAAGGGATGTGTTAATAAATTTCTATATTTCGATTTTCACCTACAAAGTGTGCCTAGAATACACTTTTGAACTATGTTATCTCAATGCAAGATTACTTCAAAGCATCTTTGAAATGATGTTGAACAGTAACTTAAATACCATCATGTGATGTTTTTTATTATTTGATCAATAACTTCCCCATCCATGATTTTATAATGATTGCCTACAAATATCTCAGAAGAGGTTCCAATAGATGCAAAATATCTTCTTTTTCCTTTGCTTGACGAAGTTATTTTCTTATATTCTCTTAAATAAAGTATTTTCTCCATTCATTTTACATTTTTTTACATTTTTTAGCTATATGCCCACAAATTTTCCACCTCATGCTTAAGCAGTGAGCTATCGCGCTTTAATGCACCTCTCTTAAAAACACATAACAATGCCATGTGTTTCTTGGAGCGGAAGCAATACGTTTTCTCAGAAGTAAATATATTAGTCAGGGACAAGGTAATCCGAATCTTACTTCCCTTATAGTGATTTCTTATTATTTGGTATCAAACTTTGCCATATCAGTTGGGTTCACAGTTCACTTACAAAGTAAATAGTCATTATGTTACGTGAAATTAATATCAAGTTTAGGCCAAATATAAAAACTACGTTTAACTTAGACTCCTTACAAAGCTAAACTTTTAGTCCTCTTGTTGAATATATTGACTACATTTCATATTGCCCTAGTATAAGATACAACAAAAATCAGTACTAATGTAAACAACATTAATATACGATTAGCAAACAAAAAGAAAAAAGTATATGCTAAAAAATTTATCACTGAAAGCATAAGAGTATATAATCATCAATATACGGATATCTTATCATGAGAACCCTTGATATTCCCAATATTGAAGGTAATTTCATTTTCTCAACCTTGGTGGAGTTCAAATCACAAAAATTTTCTCCGTAACTATAGTCTTCCAATGATTACTAAAAAATGGAAAACCTTTTCGTGAAAAGTCTTCTTTGGAAACTTCTGGTCCTTATGCAGTCTTTTTTGTGGCTCTAAAACATTCAATTATACGTTTCTTATATAAAAATAAATAAATAAGAAGGCTGAGTATCTAACTCGAGTTTTTCTAGACCATTGGAACATTGTGCCATCTTATATTCATATGCTATCTTTTAAAGAAGAAAAAAAAAATCATTCATTCCAAGAAAAAGTTCAAATAGGGCAACGGAAATTTATGGGAATAGCAATTACAAAAACTAAACAAACACTTTTAGACCCTACACTATTCTGAATTTATGATTGAATCACTACTAATTTGTCAATGACTTATCACGAGGTAACAAAGTCCTATCAAAAGAGGAGAAAAGGGGGTTTAGAGTCGACACATAGGCATAGGGCCTTAGTACTCAAAAATTTGACTCCGAGTCTACGAACCATTCTTAAGACCATCAAGCCCTCTTGAATCATTTATGATCAGTAAGAGAGTTTTTACTCTTTCCTCTCAGTTCGTGTAAGTTTCATTCATTAGCTAGCACCAAGTAACGTGAAAGCAAGAGTCAAGAATTTTGGCTGTTTCGATGAGAATAGACTCCCTTTCAAAAGTTTATGAGTGCATCTTCAAGGCAAGAACTTCCCATTAAAAAATAAAGGAAACCACGTGATGCATGTTGTATCTAACGGGTGAGAAGCATAAACACACAAAAAAAGAAATTAAAAAAAAAAAAAGAGAGAAAGATCACAACAGACATTTTCACAGCAGCATTATAGCAACTACGTAGATATCTTGTAGGGAAAAACCTTCCAGAAATGAAGAAATTACCTCAATAGTCATTGGAGTGAAGACAAACAGGTTGGCCAAATTAAAAGCAAACGCCGATATCAGAAACCCAAGCTGGTACCTCTCAGAAGTTGCTGCAGACTTCCATGGATGTAGATAACCAAAAGCTGCAACAGATATGGCACAGCAAATCCCAACCATTGAGAAGTAGGCAGGGAACATCTTGCTTTGAAGATTACCAAATTGGTGCCTCGGCAGATTCCTAAGGTATATGATACAGGATTAATGCAATCACAGACCAATATGTAAAATAACACTTCCCTCGAAGATAAAATGTTATTATTGATTTTGATTAAAAATGGAATTTTATTTTCATGGAAATTCAATCTTGATATAACCAATTGAAGCTAAATTTTCAAAAATTATCCAAACTCACACTAAATATTGTAAAATCATAGCAATTATCGAAGATTGCCCCTAATAATATCTGAGACATATCAAAGAACCCATCCTCCATACAGTACACACAAGACTAGAGATGCCCTAAACACAGAATCGTCGCGCAAGCAAGAGTCCAAAACAGCAATAAAAGTCAGTCAATCAGCAAGAAACACGAACCGATCGAAAAACAATAACCAAATTCGCGTTTCCTAAAAATGTTGTTACTCTTGCTTACAGCCAGAGCAGATAAGCATTCTTTTTCTACATTAAGAAGTGGGAAAAGAGGGATTTACTTGAACATAATGATGCCGCCGATGAAGGTAACCCATAGAGAGGCCCCCCAAGCGGTAGAGTAGCAGAGGAGATGAGCCAATTTGAGATACAGAGAAAGATTTGGCGCATTAAAAGTTTTGGAGTTGGATCCGAAGGTCTCCGGCGAAAATACAACTCCGATTGCTAGGAAAGCCACCGCCGCTAGGAATCTCGTCAACCACGCCATCTCTGCCTCTCTGTATCTCGAGCTGTGCGAAGAAGAAGAAGAAGAAGGAAATAGGTATTGAAGAACTGAGAAGATGGTCGAGAAAGGTGTACTTAGCTTGGTAATATTATTAACAAATTTCCAAATTTATGTAATTAAATATAAAATAAAATTATATTTTGTTGATAAATATATTTTTATTCATTCAAAATTAATTTAACGTCTTATTTTTTAGAATGATTTTAAACTCAATAAAAATATATTTTAATTATTTCATAATTATTCTTGAACATACTATTGAGACAGATGCTCGAGTATAACTAATTTGATTATATAATATTTTCTCGGTCGATAATTAAAAATATTTATTTATTTTTAGAGAATAAGGAAATAACTCTAATTTAAATTGGATAATTAGATACTTAATAACTAAAAAATTGCAAATTAAAATACTAAAATATCCATGACAAAATAAAGTCGGGTTCAAACGGGCCGGTCTAATTAATACGATTAATTTTAGCGGTTCAGCTTGAGACACGTGTCGAGACTAGGATAGAGAAACGTGGCGCCACATCACAAAAATCAGTCCTCCCGCCATTGGCACAAAAATAATAATAAATAAATAAGCAAAAAAATTGCCCCAATTTCCCTCGTTTCTATTTTCGTCTCGTTGTTGCCATTGTTCAAACTTCTTCTGCCAGATTTTGCCCTCAATCAACGGAACTGCTCGCTTTTTCTCTTTAAGGTAGAATCTCAACTCTCCATCAAGCTCCGCGAATATGTTCGGAGGGCAGATTGATGTTTTTGTTGATCGTTTTAAGGTGTTCAGTTCGTTCTCTTTGGATTCAATCACTTCGATGAGAAACAGGTATCTCGCATATTTTTTAAACTCTCTGTTTATTGCTTGTTTGTTTGCTATGACTATGAGTTAAGCAGTCGGAGAACTGGTTTAGAACGTTATTTTGTTGTTTTTGTATCTCTTTTTAGATTCAGGCCACGCTAATCTATGGCGGAGGGGTTGATACTGGTCAGTATGGCCCGAATTGCACTCATGTGATCGTGAATAAGGATAAGATCGTTTATGTAAATCGTACTTCGTTTCTCAGTCAATTTGAAAATTAATTTTATAATGTTCACGATTATTGTGTACTTGCGATGTTACACTGGGACTGCCTTGTGAATTAGTCTCCGTTACCATGTATGTTTCATAGGACGATCCTGTTTGTGTTATGACATGGAGAGGCTTGAAGCTGAGGCTAAGGATTCTGAAGAAGAATCTTGCAGTGGTATCACTAAACATTTTGTGAGGAGGAACACGAAGAGTCCTAACGCCATGAAAATTTGTTTGCAATCAACCAGTGAAAGATCTAATACAATTCCAGCATCAAAGACAGTGGATGACTTTATAAACATTGTTGATCCTAAGAGCGTGTTGACAGTTCCTACTGCCAACAGTACATTTAGTCCTAGAAAATTTGGTGAGCATCATACTGTCGGGCTTCTGTGCCATCTGACATGTATATCGAAACTTTTGAATCTGAGAAGCAGAAAGTGAAAAATGAGGGAGTGACAACTCCATCAAATGCAGTAAGGTCCACGCAGCTATGTGCTACCAGTTGCTCTAGGTCTAGGAGAACTCCATTGAAGTCGGCACTTCCACTGTTTTCATCTCCTATTCCGATTTTCTTAGAGCCTTCAGTAGCACAGCCGAGATAACGATGGGTTCTCTGTCCCTATGGGGATTGAGTGACAGAAGTTTTAAGAATTAAGAGAAGGTCACAGCAAGATGAGCCGTTTATCGTCGCGATAGGTGTCAAGTAGAAGTGTAGTGATGTATACATCCTGCATTACTAAATAGAGCGCCCACTTTGCATAGATTAGGCATCCATGATGCCTCATGTAAAATGGCAGTAGGTGAAATAAAAGATAATTATAATGTTGAGAAGACGGAAGAAGTCTCAGTTGGTTGCGTCAGGCCCTAATACTGAAGTCCATACTGCACCCGTTTGTAAGTCTGAGAAGGAAAATGAACCATGTGATATGGGTAACAAAACTAGGGAAATGTCAAGCATTGTTTAGCGAAACCTACAGTCAAGTCTAATACAAAGCAAAGGAAAGCCAAAAAAAATCTTCAGAGATTAGTGCCAATTCATCCATGGAAGTTGAAGAAGTTTTGAAAGAAGTAAAACCTGAACCTATATGTTTTACCTTGAGTGGACATTGTCTAGAAAGGAAGGAATTTTAGACGGATAGAGCGTTTGAGCGTTTGAAGGGAAGGATTTGTTAGAACCACGAATCTCTAGAATGATATGATATTATCTACTTTGAGTATAAGCTCTCGTAACTTTACTTTTGGTTTCCCCAAAAACCTCATACCAAAGGAAAAGTATTTCTTACTTATAAACTAAACTTATGATCAACTCCTTAGTTAGCCGACGTGGGACTCCTCTCCCAAAAATCCTTAACAAGGTTCGTAGAGATTCTTATCAGTGGTCATATCAGGCTACACAATTCATAACCCCTGATCCAGTCCGTAGAATTGTACATTCTTTTCGGCTGCAGCATCTGGAAGATAACATGTTATTTTAGTCAATTGTGTTTTTTTAAGATGCATGATACTTCAAAGATTAGGTAAAAAAGTGATGGAAGTACTATTTATATTGTGTTTTGATGTAAGAAATTTTAGACGTCAACTGCTGTATATTACATTTTAACTTAGTGCACATCAAAGTTCTAGAGCACAGTGTTCTATGGTGCAGGTGGATTCTCAAATCTGATTATCTAACAGATAGTAGTCAGGCCGGAAAATTCTTGATGGAGGAGTCTTATGAATGGCACAAGAACGGCCTCACTGAATACAGTGCTATCAATTTGAAGGCTCCTAGGAAGTGTCAGTTCTTGAGGGAGAGAACAGGCCACGGTGCCTTTTATGGGATGCGTAGTATCATATACGGGGAATCTATTGCTCCACCTTTGGTACGTCAGCTTGGAAGTTTCAAAATCTGCAATCCTACATTACAGCCACTCAATCTGTAATGTATCTTTCAAATATTGCCGATGAAGATATTAGTTTTTTGACGTATAGAGCATCTGTTAACTATGAAACAGGATACCCTCAAGCATGCTGTTAAGGCTGGAGATGGGACAATTCTAGCCACATCTCCACCTTATACTAAATTCCTAAAGTCTGGAGTTGATTTTGCTGTTGTCAGCCCTGCACGCCACGTGTTGATTTGTGGGTCCAAGAGTTCTTAAATGATGAGATACCCTGTGTAGCGGCGGATTACTTGGTTGAGTATGTTTGCAAACCTGGTTATCCTCTTGATAAACATGTTCGGTATAACACTCATGCATGGGCGGTAAAATCCTTCTGCAACCTTCAGAGGAGATCAGAAGAAGTTTCCAAGACTCGATCCCATAGGATGATTGTAGTAATAACGATATTGCCTGCCAAGCGTGCGGGTCTCGAGATAGAGAGGAGGTGATGCTCATTTGTGGCAATGAAGATGGTTCAAATGGTTGTGGAATTGGCATGCATATAGATTGCTGCAATCCTCCATCAATGGATTGGTTTTTTGTATTATCAGCAGAAACAGCAAAAATTCCCAAAAAGGAAAGGAGTCTCAAGGAAGCGGAAGTTGTTAGAAATCACGACTTCCACAATAGTATGATATTATCCACTTTGAGCATAAGCTCTCATAGCTTTAATGGAGATGTATTCCTTACTTATAGACTCATGATCATCCCCTTAATTAGTCAATGTGAGACTCCCTTCAAACAATCCTTCCCTCAAACAAAGTATACCATAGAACCTTTCTTGAAGCCTATGTAGCCCTCGAACATCCTACCCTTAATCGAGATTTGACTCTTTTCTTTGGAGCCCTTGAACAAAATATACCTTTTGTTGGACACTAGTCACTTTTGACTATACTTTTGAGGCTATCAATTTGTTTGTTCGACACTTGAGGATTCGATTAGCATGGTTAAGTTAAGGGTATAACTTTAATACTATGTTAGGAACCACGACCTTCACAATGGTATGATATTGTCTACATTGAGTATAAGTTTTCCTAATTTATTTTTGGTTCCCCAAAAAATCTCATACCAGTGGAGATGTATTCCTTACTTATAAATTCATGATCATCTCCTTAATTAGCCAATTGTATATTTCCGTCTAGTATATTTCCGTCTAGTTTAAACAAATGAAGTTGCTTGTATTCTTGCAGGTCTTTTATATGGTCTGGAGAATTTTTCATCAGTTGATTATCTGCTGCGGTTTGACTCTCTAATCACTCAGGTTTGCAAGCAATTTAGTTTGCATGCTTCGTAATTAAAATGGTAATACTGCTGTTTATTTGAAAGTATAGAGTTTGTGAATAGTGACATTTTCTTTTACTTTTGTATCATCTGCAACAAGTTTCTTTTAATGTCCAAGGCTAGACTAGGATAGAAAGGCTAGGCTTTTCTTGCTTTTCTGTGGAAACTTCTTGTTCTTGGGTCCCATCATCAGCCTTTATGATCAACCAACTCTTCCATCATATCTGCACACTTCCCCTTACATAACAGCAAATAAAGATAATAGGTTTTATACGACTTTGGACGACACAATGGTGGAAACCTAAATGCTACGACAATAATGTTCTAATACTAATTGTTGTAGCGAAAGCAGAAGTAAAATCAATTCTACTTACACATTTATAAGCTGAAATTAAACAACTAGACACAGATTTACGTAGTTTGGAGAGATGAAATTTTCCTATATCCATAAGTGGTAGTCAATCACTCTGACTAAAGTATGTACAAATATATTTTTCATACTCTCACACTACAAAATCTCTCACACAGATTCTCTCAATTGTCTCTAGATAAATACAAAATGACAATAACTTTACACTTCAAACAATGTTAGACAAACCTTTATATAAGATTACGATTCAAATAAATGAAAGTTATGAACTAAATAAATGTCAATAGGAGATGTATGAACCTATTCTTCATAATAACTTACTACAAGTTGTTAGCTTAAATATTGCTTACCTCATTTCTTCCTCAGGTGATTGATAATTACAAAAAAAATAAAATAATAAATAATAATAATAATACAAGTTGCTCTGTTATGGGGGAGAATTCAAAACTTTGAAGGGTGTGAATGAGATGTGGAACCCATGTCTTTTTGCACAAAAATTTGACATTTTAAGACGAACATTTTGTGAGCCCAATCCTTTGAACCATTTCCATAATTTAATATCCTTTTTGTGCAACAATAAAATTTAATGTAAGTGGGAATTTTGGCATAAAACAAAGAGCCCAAGTTATTCCTGAAGGGAATTTGGTTAAAGAGATGTGTAGACATGTGCCAATGGAGTCTATCAAAGGATCAAATATATTTCAAACCCGACTACATCTCTTCCAAGCAAAGATAAGACTTTTCTTTTGGGTTAGAGGTTTTTGTGAAGGAGAAGAGGAGTTAAGCTATCGTTATCTTTTTGTTCGTGTTTTACTTCTTACATGGAGATCAAAGTATATATGCGATATTGAGCTCAGAATGTAATCAAACTATAGTTTTGAGGTGCTAAGGCTCGATAAATAGAAGAAAGCATGAAGATAATCAATTTGGTCTGATCCGAGTTAACATAGCTTATGAGATAAACATATTAATCACTTGGTTTCGGTTTAAAAAAATCCTAATCTTGTAAGTATTATCCTCTTGTGACTATATTAAAATTTCTCTAGAATTAGTAGACACTGAAGCAACATTTAGAGTAAGTACAGGTGTTAGTGGATTGGGTCGGATTTGGTTGTAAAATTTTTCAACCCAAACATAAAATTTTTAAAGTTTTTGTTAATTTAAATTCCATCCTAATGAAATAAGTTCATAACCTAACCTAAATAAAATGCTAAAAACTCGTTAATGGTCGGGTGTTCTTTTTCTTTTGTATTGGATTAGAGAGCTTTTATAAAAGGGGGAGAGGAAGAACATTAGCAATCAATAGATCCGAGGCTTTGTGTTAATTAAAGTGAACAAACAAGAATCAATTCCATATAATGATGCTCTACCTTTTTCTCATAGGTGGCAGGAAAATTACCACATTCATCCCACTCCTTAAATCATTCAAAATTACTGCAGATTTTGTGGTTAAAAAGCTGAATACCAATTGATTGCTCAACAACCCTCCTTAAATGTGTTTGGATTTTCTTACCCAAAAACTTACCGTCTTTCCTTCAATGGGTTAAAAATAGAAAACCATTTTACCCTTTGCTTCACACTATTTTAGATATCCCAAAATAGGTAGCTCAGAAACAAGATTTAGTAGTTCAAGTATATGGATCATCCTTAATCTCAAGTATATGTATCATCCTTAGTATAGCTTAGCTAGTTAAGACATATATCTTTGATCAAGAGGTCAGATGTTTGAATCTTCCACTCTACCCTATACTAAACTAAAATACGAAAAGGAATTGAGTAGATAGGACTGAGTGGCAAATTCAACTCTAGAACTCTAGAATCTCGACTCTCGAGCTCGGAACCATATGACTCGGGACAATCTACAGTAGGGTTGTAAAAAGAAAGAAAATGGCATGTTATTCTCTCTAAAATGGAAAAGGGAGAAAAGAACAATGAGAGGAAGGAATCAAATTCCATGTAAAAAGTTGGGTTCATAGCAATAATTTTAGATCCAAAAGAAAAGCTGAGAGGATAGAGAAAAGAAATGGCACAACAACAACAAAGCAAGAACAGTGAAAGGATTCAGAACAGAGACAGACAAAGTCCAAAGTAAAAGGCTGAATGAAATGACAATTCCTTTACAGAACCAAGCCAAACCAAACTCATAAGCTCATCAGCTTTCTTCTGCCACTCCCTTCTACTCTACGGCTGACTGAACAAATTTCTTCATGTTTTTGCAGTTTTACCCCCACCCATTGTGGTGCTTTTTTCAAAAACCTGAAACTTGGAGGGCCTGCTGACTTGTCAGCTTGATAGAAGCCAACCCCATGAAGAAGAGAAAATGGGATAAGACAAATGAATGAATTCAAACAAGGGGTTGGTTCTGAACTATTCTCTGCCATTGCAATTTGAAGATTACAATGCCAATACCGAGAATTCAATGCCACGAAACTCATTAACAAGAGAAGAGATTGAAAGAGACTTCACTGAAAATTTAAATTAAAAGAGAGAGAGATAATGAAATGTTGAAGCTGAACTGATGATGATGATGATTCTGTACAAACGGTGGAAATGAAGAACAATGAAGAACAGGGACCAAAATTTTTCCGGCAGTAATTTTGTTTCTTTTGGACATGGTTTTGTTTTGTACAAAAATAAGAGAAGTTGAACCAGAGATTTCCCTGCCGTATCAACCAAAAACCTCAAGATTTTCAAATCCCATGTTTTACAGATTGGTTTGTGATTTGTAGTTGTGAATTTAACAGCTCAATGCCTCGTACTTGACCGGGAGGGGTCGGTTTAATCCGACTTGCGATAGCAAATTACCGACTGTTGCAAGATCACGGCAGAATACTCCTTGGAATGCTGATTTGTCGTCCGAGGATTTGGCGGTCGAAGTGCTGATATGTCCGGGTTTTGGAGGTTTGGATTGTGTGTTTGAAGCTTTGATGAGTTCTCTTTCTAGCTTACATTCTTGAGCTTGTTGTTGTTGCTGCTGCTGCTGCTGCACTTGAATTGCAAAAGCTTGGGCTGCCTGTAATGCAGCTGCAGCTTTCTTTCTCTGTTTCTCTGCCTCTTCCTCGTTGGAGATTGTTGCCATTATGCTTGAGTAGCCCTTCTGAAGCATTCTATATAGCAGCAATGCTGACATTTTTGCCTTGTCTAGAACCGAATCGAGATCACGGTCATCTGAAAGTTCACACCGCTCGATAAAGTTTGTAGCTTTATCGGGTTTGTGTCGTAAACATAGCAGCAAATGAGCTCTCTCCAATTCCGACCTCGAACACCCACGTCGCAGCCCCATCAAAGAATAGTAATCCGCATTCCCAGTTTCTCCAGAAGCAACTCTCTGCTTCAGTCCTTGAATTTTGACAGTTAATGCACAGAGCTTTCCTGGAATCTCTCTGTATCGAGTCGTCTGTCGCTTCCAAGCCGGACCGGGCAGCTTTCTATCCCTCAACATGGTATTATACAGAAGCTTCAAATGTTCGAGATCGTGCAAACAATCAGGTAAGCATCGAATCGTTTCGAAAAGCACAGCTCGAGTCTCTAAAGCTTGAATGCAGCTAGGATTCAGTGCCAGTGTTCGATTGCAATCAGCAATGGCCTCTGCAATTCGACCAGCCGATTGATAAGCAGAGGCTCTATACATATAACATTCAGCAAGGAAGCCTTGAGGGGCACCTCGGCGACCATCGACGATCTTGCTGAAGTGACGAATAGCCTCAGCATAGAGGCCAGCATCAAGGGCAGCTAGAGCAGCAGTCCTCTTCCGAATGAGAAGCTTAATGTGGCTAAGGAGATTGGTGATCGTTTCAGAATCGGAGAGAGCTCGAGGCGGCGTATTCGGTGGCTTCGTGGTCGATATCTCACCAGAGAAAGGGAAATCAGACAGTGAGAAGCTATCTTCAGAACGGCATATACTCTCACGGCGATATGCCGCCATTGCAAGGCGTTTGCCAGTCTGAAGAAGAACCATGGCATCTTCCATCAGCCCCAAATGACAACAAGCTTGACCCAAGATCAAATATCTACAACAAAACCCATCAAGATAAGAAACCGAGGAACCTTGCAGAGAAAGGAAGCCCAAGAAAAACCCAGAAAACAAAAGGTTTAAAAGAAAAAATGAATAATGGGTATGCAGTTTGCGGAGCATTTACTCAAAAACCAACAGAAACCATGTCGCCTGAATCATGATAATAAATAGCAATAATAACATCACATAAAAAGCCGAACCCATAAAGCATTTAATACGAAGAATTACAACCCCAAAGAAGAAGAAAGAAAAATCAATAAAACAGAGGATTTCCGATTGTCTTTTACCTCCATTGCCCTTCTTTGTTGCAGTTTTTACAGAGTCCAGCCATGACCTTCTTCTTCAAATCGGAAACGGAGAAGCATTTAAAGGACGAGTCACAACCGGGCGAGTCGGAGGATCCAAGAAGCTTAACTCGGTCCTTGGAGAGCAGCTGTGAGGAGGCATCGGAGCTTCCGGAATCCTCACCGGCGATCTTGAAACTCGGAATATAATCCTGAAGCATATCGGCGACATCTTTAAAGCGGCGCAGACAGAGGAGGGCTCTGGCTTTAAGCTCGAGGGCTTGTTCGAGCTTAGGGGAAAGAGCCAAAGCCGCATCGATGAGGTTCAAAGCAGCCAAAAGCTCTCTCTGTTCTTGAGTGGCAATGAGGGTTCGAGCATCTTTGAGGTATTTATCAACAATCTGAAATGTGGGCATTGAAGAAAATCAAAAACCCATTTGAGAAAATGGGGAAAAAATGAGGTGGGGATTGAAGAAATGTTCACCTTTTTGTTGGTGAGCCACCAGTTCTTCTTGTCAGAGGAGGAGGAAGATTGGGAAGAGACAGCCATTGTTGTTGTTGTTGACGTCGATGATGATGATGATGATGATGAAGAAGAAGAATCAGACACCCTTCATAAACCAAAGATATGAACGGGAATGGGGATTCCCTTGAGCCTTACAGGGGCTCTGTTTTTCTTCTTCTCTCTCTCTCTCTCTCCCTCGATGTGCTCTGTTCTTTGGTTCAGTGCAACATTTGTGTTTAATAAATGGCGGAAAATTTGTGAGAGAGAGAGAGAGAGAGAGATTTGAAATGTGAAGAAGAAACGGGGGAGAGAGTAAATAAGGGGAAGGAGGAGGAAGAAGAAGAAGGGGGCGTGTAGAGAGAGAGAGAGAGAGAGAGAGAGAGGAAAAAAGAAAGAGAAAAATGCCAGCTTTGACCTCAAGGGAAAGCTTTGATCCTTCAGCTTCATAGCTGGCAGCACACAATAGATTCTCTCTCTCTCTCTCTCTCTCTAAATTACAGTGGGAGGGCTAGGTATCCTATAAGTCTAGAGGGTAAGTCGGGCCCACGTGGCCAGGTCATCCATGTCACCCCACCCTAAGTAACTCTTTTTTTTAGTTACGTTAAATTGGTGTATAATTATAGTTGAACAGATAAAATAAGGCGTAGTCGATGGACAACAGGTGAATATTCCTAAACTACCTCTTGTTGGTCCCGAGGGACGGAGGAGGCTAGGTTAGCCGAAAGATGGTTATCGGTTCAAAGACGCAAGGTGCCCCTATTTTTTCAGGGTAAGAAAGGGTATTTACCTCGAGCAAGAATAATTGTTGAAAAGAAAATAAAGTTTTCTTTTTTATTTGAAGTCTTATTTCCGTTTTAAAAATATATATCTTTTAATTTTTGTTATATAAAAAAAAAAAAAAAACATTATTTTAACTTCATTTATAAACCCGTTAATTAATATAATATATTCAGGTTCAAAGCTTTAAAGGATCAACAACTAAATAATTACATTAATTAAAGCTTCATTAATAATTCTTTAGCCTTTTTATTCGTCAATTTTAAAAATCAAACTTTTTTCAATGAAAAAAAGTAGACTAAATATTTTTTAAAAAAATAAAAATTAATTTCTTCCGTGGGAAGGAAGACATTGAGGGGGGGGTAACCGGGTACAGCCGGTGAGGTGAGGAGAAGAAACCGGATAGTGGGGGTAATTATTTCATCACGGGTGATTGGATTGGATTCAACCCCCGGTTTGAAAAAGATATATTAAAAACGCCAAAAATTGCCTGAAAAGTAAGCAAAAGATGTGCGCTTATTTATTTCCGTTTGCCCTAAATTTACTATTTTAACCATCATAATTATTATTCTTATTAAATTCATCATTTTTTTAATTAATTAATTAATTAATTGATTAATAAATAAATAAATGATTTTCCTTTCTTTAGCCAATAATCTAATCTTCCCCTACATCATTAATCTGAACTACTCTTTCATTGCAATAGGAACTATGTTGCCAAAAGGGTTGATGCCCATGTTACAATTATTACATTTTTTTTATTCATTCAAATTAAAATAAATAAATAAATAATTACACCAAACTTTATTCATTCATTTATTTTATAAAATTCTTTTCTCCTAATCCAAAACACCAATTTCACCTTACATTAAAGTTTTGTGTAAACTAATTCTTTTATTTGGTCCTTTAGTATTCTTTACTATGTTTATTTCAATTCAATTATATAATTAAGTTCCCGTGTTTTTTTTAGCTAGATTTAGACGTTTTTGTCAACTTCTTAGTGCTTCTAATGGGTGTTGACACGTTTTTGTTGGGTTTTTTACCGTTTACTAATCAGTTTTTTCACCCCCGTTTGACTCTTTTTCAATATTACGTTATAGACGAGAGGAATGCACCCACAATCCATTTGGTACCTAATCACTAGCGGATTTGAGTATAATTGTGAGATCCTATATCGAATGTAGAGGGGAACAAAACATTTCTTATAAGGGTGTGGAAGCCTCTTCCTAGCATACGCGTTTTAGAACCGTGAGGTTGATGGCCATACGTAATGGGCTAAAGCAGAAAATTTCTAATTGCTAGCAGTAGGCTTGGAGACTGTTACAAATGGTATCAAAGTTAGACATGGGGCGGCATGACAGTGAGGACGTTGGGGGCCAGGGGAGTGGATTGTGAGATCTTATATCGGTTGAAGAGGGGAACGAAACATTCTTTATAAATGTACAATAATTCAATGAATAAGACACAATTCATCATCGCAAAGATCGATAATTCGATCACATATCTTAAACTAGAAAAAAACAACAGTTAATCGTTCGATCTATACTCGAGCATATTAATTATTCAAGAGAAAAGAAAGCACAAGAATCATGGCTTTTCCTTTTGGGACTTTGCTTTTGATTTCATTTTCATGCCCTTCTCTCTCTCATTTTAATGAATGCACATGTACTTAGATACCCATATCTACCTATCCCATATGCCCTTTCTCTTCAAAATTCCCATTTTACCCTCACATTTCTTCCCTTTTTTATGCCCTTCTCTTCTGCCACATCACCCTTCTCTTGCCACGTCATTTTTAATTATATAAAAATACCTATTTCTTTAATATATTAACAATGGAATCAAAAGCTTAAATTTAATTCACCCATTTAATTTTAAGTTCAAAAATAATAAATTAATTTTCCCCCACATAATAATAAAAAAAAACAATTAACAAAAATGTCCATTTTTTAAAATTATATTAATTATAATCAATAATTCTTTATATATCACATAATTTAAGAAAAAAAATAAAAATAGCTTAAATCGAGGCATAAATAATGGCAATACCAAAAATCAGTTCAAACTACAACTCAAATATAATGCCTCCACGTGTCGATTAATGATTTGGAATCATGACAAGGATGACTGTGCCATAATGCCAGCTCAGCATCAATTTTATTTGATTATTATTTTGTTTTCTTGGTAACATTATTGCCTTGTTGGCTATTTTACGAACAATGATTGGCAATACATAAACGACAGCGTTTTGGATTATAACAATTAAGATTCGTTCTTTGTGATGGAAGTTGGGGGAAAATATTAGTAGGCGGGGGAAAAAAATTTAATATTCTTTTATAATTATTAGATATATATAGCTGTTTTAAAAAATATAAATTAATGCAATTAATTGAATTTTAAATGCTTTCAATCAATGATCTTAAATTAACAAATTAATGGAAGTTAGTCAACTAATAATTAACCATTTTTCTTTTACATAATTTATAAAAAAAATCAACAATAAAATGACATTATAACAGTTAAGCGTAAGCTTTTTGCTAGCAAATATTGTCTGTTTTGGCCTATTACATGTCGCCGTCAGTCTCATGGTTTTAAAATGCGGTTAATAGAGAGATATTTCCACACCCGTATAAGAAATATTTCGTTTTTCTCTCTAACTGATGTGGAATCTCACAAACGTCACTTGAGTTCAATTGATTAAAAATACTTTATGAATCCAGAAAAACCCGTACCCGATAATACAGTTCATTATATATATGCATGTATGTGTACATGGAGTTGATAGAATGATGAGGTCCCCTAGGGAAACTTATCCAAAATGTAAATGATTGTTGGAAGTAAAGAGAGGTAGGGTATGAGAGAATGATGAAAGGACAAGGGACCCTACAGAAGGGCAGCCCCCCCTTGGGGCTGTGTCCCTGAAAGAGGGTAAGGTTTTAGGGACCAGTGGGGCTTAGTTATAGGACGACCAAAAGCCGTTTCTCCATGCACATATAAGCTGCTGCTGCTGCCGCCCTCTCTCACACCTCACCTCATCCTGGTTGTCATCCACGTAGACATCGCACTCTCTTCTTTACACACACACACACATCATCAATATTACGTTATTAGGGTCGTGTCAATAGAATTCTCAAATATTGAACAAAGAAGTTGTGAGTCTCGAAAGTATAGTCATAGTAGATTAGGTGTAAAAACTAAGACATTGTGAGTCTCGGAGGTGCAGTCATGATAAAAATCCCTGATAGAGTTTTATTGGACCGACAATGTGCTTTAGAGAAGAGGGGTCATCTAGAATCATGTTGAACGATTAGATGACTTTAAGGAAAGGCTCGATGGTGTATTTTGTTCAAGAAGAGGATTGTTAGAGTCCCACGACCATGGATATATAAATAATAGTTAGTAAAGCAAAGGGGTTTTGAATCGAGAAATCAAAAGAAGAAAAATAACAATACTGGAATACAAACACGAGCCTAATTCGTTGCTTCAAATTAGAATTAGGGGGTCTTCCATTTTACAAATGAATTTTCTCTTTCAATGTCTATAATATTAGATACGACAAAACGACTCCCTTTGAAAATGATAAGTAAAGACGTTTTTTTTTCCCTCAAAGAATTTACATATTTTTGTCGTCTAAGAAAGTAAGTCCTTGTTTTTGCATGTGAAACGGGACAATAGCCCTTGTAATTAAAGACAAGAACCTAATAATTATTAACCTAAAGTTTGGATTTTAACTTGAATATATAAATGAAAAATGTGTAATTATAAACCTTATTATATAGTTTAAATATATAAATAAACACGTGTGATGTCTGAATGAGAAGAAAAATGAGCATATGATTAATTATTTTATTATTATTTTGTTATTTTTGCTTGAAATTATTGGTGGCCAACATGTGTTGTGTTATGTTGAATTATAATGGCTTCTTTTTTTGTATTTTATGGTTGACTTTTTTGAGTCGAGCTCTAAAGATTGTATTAAAATTATTGGCTCAATGAATTCAACTAAAAATTGAATTTTAATAAAAATATATAAATATTTCGAAATTTTCCATTTATTTTTACGAAAATTCTCCGAGTGGAACAAACTCCTACGGAGAATTTTTATTTATTTATTATTCTTTTAAAAAATATTTAATAAAATGGTTTAAAAAAAATCATGTATTTAAATATTACTCTAAAAAAACTAATTAGTATTTTTCAATTAATATTTTTTTAAAATATTTGTTGGAACTATCTATATATTATGTATGGTGGGATTTGGACGAGATGGGGAATATAATCTTGGCCTATATATGAAACCATCTTTTATTTTCTGTTGTATTTCCTATCTCGTTTAGGGCAGATCCCTACCGGGTCTTGACCTAGTAAGTAAAATAGATATCTCTAACAAAAATACAAAATTGAAAATTTAAGATAATGATTTCATGCTAAAATACTTTAAACATTTTAAAATTTGGACCGACTAAAATTCTAATTTGACCCGAGTATATTTTAATATAAGTTTAACATGGTCGGGTAAAAGAAAATAATAAAATTAACAAATAATAACAAAAAAAT